GCTGGTCAAGGCCAGGGAGCACCGGGTTCAGCACAGAGCATGCAGTGGCTGGAATATCCAGAGCTCCCTCTGCAGATCACTTGGAGAGCTTTGGAGGCTGTAAATCATCCCTGAGCTGGGCTCTGGGATCTGCTCCCATGGCACTGCCCCCAGGGGCACCAGCACTCTTGGAGAAGTTCTCCTCTCTCCTGCTCTAGTTATGTGACCCCTTGGGATTATCCTCTTGCTGCTGTCATTTGCCTCCCTTCATTTCAGAACATTTGGGAAGAATCTGCAGGACTCCAGACATATTAGTTGTAGTTTGAGTAGTCTAAAACCTGGAGATCAGCAGTGCCCAAAGATATCCAGCTGAATCCAAGGAAAAGCTGCAGTACCTTGTCTCCAGGATTTATTATTCAGCACTGATGGTTCACCCCAGTTTTGGGGTAACAGAGCTCTCCAAGCTTAGTCTGAGATCTGCTTTGGATTTGAATTGTATCAAATATTTAAGGTTTTTTTCCTCCTTCTAAATACCTTTTGCTCACCAAATTGTCTTGTGTTCAGGGTGCTGTTGCTAAGCCTGGTGTCACCATAGCACTAAAGAGCCAGAGCAGGTTGTCCTGGCCACTCTCAGCATCAGCAGTTTGGGGCAGGGACTGTCCTTGAGAAAGACAAATCCAGCCAGGACGTGGAGGGAATCAAACACAAGGAAATGAATGTGCCAACACAGACTCTGCTGATGCTGAAAAGTGATGGCACTTGTCTGTGCATGTCCAGCCTGGCTGCCAGCTGAATGTGTCTCCAGGAGCCACAGCATGTCCTGAGCTCCACGAGGAGCTATCCCACTGTTTTTTCCTGGGATTGGTGCCCAGACCATTTCATGCAGCTCCTGTGCAGCCACCAGACCAGCTGACAGGAAGCAATTAGCAGGGGCAGGGTTCAGGCTCAGCTGAATTCCCACAGGAGCTGTTATCCCAGGGATCCCGGGCACGTGCTTGGGAGGGCATTGTGCCACCAGTGAGTCATGGCAGACAGGGAACACCTCCAGCTGCAAACTTCCTTTGTTTTGAGATTCCAAATGAAAATCCGGGCTGCTGGATCACATCCCCGCAGTCTGTCCCTTCCTGAGTCACTGCCTCTGCTTTGGACAGGTCCTTTCTCTGATAAAATCCACTGCTGGGATTATATCCTGGGCTGCAAGTTCTCCTGGGAATGCTGGCCTGTGGAATCCCTTGTTCCTTTGCTGTAAATATGTTCTTAGCTGGTCTGAAAAATGGCACTTGAGAGATTATGCTTGTGCAGCTTGAGACATTCAGCAGCTGCTTTTTAAACCCTCTGTTTCTTGGTCTTCCCTTCTATAAAATGACTATAATTTACTTGCCTTCTAAATTTAAAGAACAAGCCCTTGCAGTGCTCTGAGAGGTTGAATCACAGTCACTCTCCACTGTTTTGTTCTTTGCCTTGGGAATTGTGTTTATTCTCATTCTCACCTGGTTATTTTTTGGATCTCCCTGTCTACATTTGTCCTTTTCCCCTCACATTTGTGCTCCATGCACCTTGGCCAAGTTTCATCTGCAATAGGATTGCGTTTGGCCTCCTGTGAGAGCTTCCTCTCTGTTTGAAGTGCTTTTGGTGGTCTCCAATTCCTGCTCTTTCTGAGTGGCCAAACAGCCCTGGGACAAATGAGTCACCCCAGATCACTCCATCCAGCCCTGGGCTCAGCACAGGAAGGAGCTGGAGCTGCTGGAGTGACACCAGAGGAGGCTCCAGGATGAGCAGAGGGATGGAGCAGCTCTGCTGTGTGGAAAATTAGGAGAATTAGGATTGTTCAGCCTGAAGAGAAAGCACTGAGATGACCTAATTGTGGCCTTCCAGGACCTGAAGGGCTGAGAAGAAAGATGGAAGAGAGACTGTTTGCAAGGGCTTGGAGTGACAGGAAAAGGGGGAATGGCTTCCATTACCAGAGGGCAGGGGTGGAGGGAGTGTTGGGAAGGAATTGGAAGGGTGGAGAGACCCTGGCACAGGGTGCCCAGAGCAGCTGTGGCTGCCCCTGGATCCCTGGCAGTGCCCAAGGCCAGGCTGGACAGGGCTTGGAGTGATAGGAAAAGGGGGAATGGCTTCCCACTACCAGAGGGCAGGGATAGAGGGAATATGGAGCAGGAATTGTTCCCTGGGAGGGTGGGCAGGCCCTGGCACAGGGTGCCCAAAGCAGCTGTGGCTGCCCCTGGATCCCTGGCAGTGTCTAAGGCCAGACTGAACAGGGCTTGGAGTGATAGGAAAAGGGGGAATGGCTTCCCACTGCCACAGGGCAGGGATGGAGGGAATATTGGGAACAAATTGGGAGGGTGGAGAGACCCTGCACAGGGTGCCCAAAGAAGCTGTGGCTCCCCCTGGATCCCTGGAAGTGCCCAAGGCCAGGCTGGACAGGGCTTGGAGTGACAGGAAAAGGCTTCCCACTGCCACAGGGCAGGGATGGAGGGAATATTGGGCAGGAATTGTTCCCTGGGAGGGTGGAGAGACCCTGGCACAGGGTGCCCAAAGCAGCTGTGGCTGCCCCTGGATCCCTCAGTGTCCAGGGCCAGGCTGGACAGGGCTCAGAGCATCCTGAGCTAGTGGAAGGTGTGAGGATGGAATAAAATAAGCTTTAAGATCCCTTCCTGCCCAAACCATCCCACGATCCCATAAAGCAGCAGGCCGATAGGTGGGGGGTCAGGAGAGCCTGTGGCACTGGGGACAAGGCTTGCACTGCTACACACTCCACTAACAGGACAAAAAGCAGCTTCAGGGGCAGGATTTAACCCTTTTCCTCCCACTCCCGGGCAGGAGGGAGAAGGACACGACGCGGAGCCTGGTGAACGACAAGCGGCTGGTGGCGGAGCAGCGGCAGCGCTACAGCCAGTACAGCGTGGTGCTGGAGGAGCTGCCCCTGCCGCCCGCCGCCGCCCTGGGCTTTGGCGACTACGAGGACGAGTACGACGACACCTACGATGGGAACCAAGTGGGCGCTAACGACGCTGACTCGGATGACGAGCTCATCGCCAGGAGGTGAATGCTGAGGGGAGGGGGAAGGAGGGAGGCACGGAATTCCCTGGCTCCCACAAACCTGGGAAACGCTGCTTTGGGCTCTGTTCCTCCACGAGGGCTTCAAAGCAGCCTTTTCTCTGTTTTCACTGTGATGTGCAAGGAGGGAGGTTTGGGTCTCCCTTCTCCTGTGGATAGGGAGTGTTCTATTGTCATTACATTGCAAAGGTTCCCTACTGCTGGAGTTTTGTACCTCCTTGATGTTTCTCATAGGCAGCTCCTCTAGCCCTGACTCTTCCTTGTCCTCACAGCAGCCACCTGATTCCAGTTCCCTCAACCAACCAACCCACTCTTTTATAACACTCTTCTTACTGGCTACAGCTGCCTGTTAACATCAGGCCTGCTCCTAATCCTTAATAATTGGCTCAGCTGCAACTCTTTAGTGGGTAAGGTGACTTTCTATACTACCTATAGAAAGACATATTTATAAATCATATTTACTTATGGTCTATCCCCCTACAGCAGGCTATTCCTAGAACAGAAAGTGATGGCACTCTTGAGGCAAAGAACCTCATTGAAGAGTGGCTGTACATAAATACAAACCAAATTCCTAGCCAGACCATTCCTAAACTTCAGGAATGGGTTGCAAATGAGCACAGGGTGTGCCCAGGATGTTCTCCAGCTTCCACTGGGCCATTGCCTCAATTAGTCAGCAAATCCAAGAGGGGAATTTGCCATGTGTGGAAATTTGTACTCAGCAGTGCCTCTCCTTGGAGAAACTACCCTGCAGCAGGGAAAAATGCCTTGGAAAATCAGTGGAGCTGGGCAACCTAAAATGGCTGATTAGCAAAGGAAAACCTCAAAATTTGGGGAATTTTACAACCAGACTTTTCCCTGCCAATCCCCTATGAGTGCTGACAGCTGGAATTGAGTCCCTGATGAGCTGCACAGCACTCTGCACCATGACTGACAACTGCACACAATTAGCTTTTGGGAAACAAAGGGTTAATGGGGATGGAGGCTGGAGAATATTTATTTTGGAAAGTGTGTGGTTTAAAAGCTGCTTTAACATTTCTGAAAGTGGCCTTTTGAATTCTGATGTATTATGAAGATGTCACCGTTCTAACCTCAAACCAAATGGAAGCTTTGAGGCTCTTTGTCCCTTTTTTCCCTCTCCTAAAGTGTTGAGAAGCTTCAGTTTAAATCCTTTTTGTGTTCTGCCTGTAAGAATGTGGCACCCAGGTGTTTTTCCCTCTTTCAGGTCTCAGTGCCCCTAGAAACAATTAGTGGATGTCACTGCTGAAAACTGGATCTGTTGGTTTGACATAACAGAGGCTTTTCTGGTTCTGCATTTATTTCTTTGGCAGTGGATTGGTGGGTCTGAATTCCAATGGAATTCAAATGCAGACACATATTTATGTTAAAGAAGAGTTATAGGCATGTGTAAATTCTTCCTCCACCCCCAGGCCCTTTGCTCTGCATGTCCAGAGTGATTCATAAAGCCTGATGAATTTCTCCAGGGTTTTCCCCCCTGTAGGAAACTGGGGCACAGCAATGGAACTGGGGCTGCCTGGGTAGCCCTGAGCAGTCAGAGGGTTTGGAGCACAGCACTGCCTGAGCAGGAGTGGTTCTGTCCAAATTTGCCTTCTACAGCACATGCTCCCTGTCTGCTGTAGCAAAGGATGCTCCTTAATATTGTGGCTGTGTCTGGATGCCCATTTCCCAAAGGAAGCTGTTGTTTCTGTGGAGAAATTCCTTGTGAGGTTTCAGGGTTGGGGTTTTATATAACTATTATTATTATTATTATTATTATTTTCAGTGACAATTTCATAGTGAACATTCCCCAGTGGAGACTGTGTGTTTGCTAATTGCCCATAGGAATGTGGTATTAACTCCTGGGTCTCCTGGTTTTTTGTTCAGGAAAATGAAGTCCATGAAATCTGTAGAGTCTCATCTTTTTAAAGACATAATGCAAACCACAAAGGATGTGCTGTTCAGAGCAATGTTTGTGGCTGTGCTATTTTCTTTTCTAACTATTTGTATCTTATTTCCTAGGCCATTCACAATTCCTCAGGTCTTGAGACCTAAAGGACATGAAGAAGGACAGGAGACAGAGGAAGAAGATGAAGAGGAGGAAGAGGAAGCTGAAAAGGAAAGAACAAAGGTGACATTTAGCTGGAGTTGCATTCAAATTTACCATATTTCTTCCCTGCTTCACCTGCAGGTGATGTGGAGCAGATTTCCTGTTTCAGAGAGGGAATCTTTGAGCAGCAGCAGCAGGGACTGAGCTGCTGTTCAGTGGCTGCTGGGCTGTGATGTGTCCCCAAGGAGAGCTCTCCACAGCTTCCTGCCCTGACTGTGCTGGAGCACTGACACTTCCTCCGTGGGGAGCTTTAATCTGCTTTACCCAGAGACAGACAGAGCCAGCAGAGCACTCTGAGGGTCACTGGCACTCTGTTTCCATGGCTGTGCTGGGAGCAGCCATGGGCTGGGAAGGTTTTCAGGCAGGTTTTGTGCCAGGTGTTGTGTTTAGAGTCCCTGACACCAATCCCACTGGTCCTGAGGTAATGAACCAGGAATTGACTCGATTCCAAACAGGTTCCTCTCTCCTCTCTCCTCTCTGTTGCGTGGTGCTGATGGTGAATGACAAGCGGCTGATCCTGACCCGTTCCCTTGGTGCTGATGGGTTTCCTGAGCCGTTCCCTTGGTGCTGATGGGTTTCCTGACCCGTTCCCTTGGTGCTGATGGGTCTCCTGACCTGTTCCTTGCCTCCTTCAGGACCACTTTGTGCAGGACCCCGCAGTCCTGCGGGAGAGGGCCGAGGCCAGGCGCCAGGCGTTCCTCGCCAGGAAGGGGTAAGCCAGGCTCTCGCTCTGCCTCTGCAGCTCTTCTGCTGCTGACTGGAGTTGTTGGGGTGTTCCTTGGCATTCCTGTGTCAGGGTCCTGCCACAGTGGGGTGAATTCCTCACTTACCCTTTATTTCACTGCTGGTTGTTTTATCCCTTTGAATAGGGGTAGGCATGGCACGGAATCATGGAGCGGTTTGGGTGGGAAGGGACCTTAAGAGCATCTTGTTCCACCCCCTGCCATGGGCAGGGACAGGAACTGTCCCAGGCTGCTCCAAGCCCCATCCCACCTGGCCTTGGGCACTGCCAGGGATCCAGGGATCCACCCTGTGCCAGGCCCTGCCCACCCTCCCAGGGAACAATTCCTTCTAATAGCCAATCTAAACCTCCCCTTTTTCAGCATAAAGCCATTCCCCCTTGTCCTGTCACTCCAGGCAGCAGAACCCTGTGGAAGACAGGCTCTTGGAGAGTACAACTCCCAGAGCTCCAACAGCTCCCACCGGGATTTTGGGGCAGTTTCATAGCTGGTTTCAGCTGATGGGCTCAGTGTGTGGAAGGACACAGTGGTGGTGTGGCTGATGCTGCTCCTGGGCTGCCGTAGAGCCCTGAGCTGAACCCCTCACACCTCAGTGTTTGTGGGGATGTGGGTTTCACCCCAGGAGTGCAGCGTCCCTGTTGTGATGTCCTTGCTCTGTGTCCTCCAGGCACAAGCACGACGGCTCTGCCGTGGTTGGCAACGCCAAGGGCCACGGGCAGAGCCGGGAGACGCTGCAGGAGCGGAGGAAGAAGGAAGCCAACAAAAGCACCCGAGCCAACCACAACCGGCGGGCCATGGCCGACAGGAAGCGCAGCAAGGGCATGATCCCGTCCTGAGCAGCTCCGGGGCGGGGCTGCTCCGGGCCGTGCCGGGCCCTGCCCAGGAGGAGGCTCCCGTTCCTGGCGTTCCCGTGCTGGGGGATGGATGTTGTGTGCAATACCCGGCAGCTGGGCTCACCCGGAGCTGCATTCCCTGGGGGAGTGCAGTTCCTGCCCTCTGTGTGTGCCAGTGGCTGCAGCCAATACACGGGACAGGCTGCAGCAGCCATTCCTGCCCTTTTGTACTATTTATAATTCAGAGTTTTATTTTCATACTGGAGTGGGCAGCTCCGAGAGCGCGGCTTCCATGGAAATGCCTTATCCTGAACTTGAGTTATAAATTATCCCAGCTTGGAAGGGACCCACAGGATCATCCAGTCCCACTCCTGTCCCTGCCCAGACCCACACCAACCCCACCCTGTCCATCCCTGGCAGCGCTGCCCAAAGGCCCCTGGAGCTCTGGCAGCCTCGGGGCCGTGCCCATTCCCTGGGCAGCCTGGGCAGTGCCAGCACCCTCTGGGGGCAGAACCTTGTCCTGAGCTCCACCTAAACCTCCCAGCACAGCTCTGAGCTGGCAGAGAAAGGCTCAGGCTGTTCCCACTGCCAGCAGACCCACAGGGGTCCAGGTGAGTCAGACCTTATGGATTTCTGTCCCTCAAGTGAGGCCTGTGAAAACAGATGGTGCAAATAAAAGATGTAGATGTCTTAGCTGGCTTTTTAAGACCCTTACATAGTATTGATGAACTTCCTGGTATCCAAACAGGCTTTGCTTGGTTAATTTGCTGGTTAATGTGCCCTGAGTGCCCTCTCCCCACCACGCTGTATTTTCTTGCACTGCAGCAATGCCTGTGGCTGTCACCCCCACAGTGGGGACATCAGCCCTGGGTTGTGCTCCAGGGCAATCCCAGTGCTAGTAGGGTGGTAGTAAGGTCCACACCTTGGTGCCTGGTGTTGTGCAGGGGGCAGGAGTGTGACTGGGGCTGTGTGCAGAGCAGCAGAAATGCAGCAGAACAGCCACTGCCATGAAATGAGGGGAAGCCGTGAATGCTCCAAGGAGATTTTTCATTGCCTATCAGTGCTGCCCAAACCTCCCAATGCCAGGCATGGAAAAAAGGAATAGATTTACCAGAATCCCCAAATGCTGTATCCAGGAAAATCTCCTGCTGGGATAATGCTGCTCTCCTGCAGCTCCTGCTCTCTGCACCGATGGCTTCAGCTCCTCCCTGCTGCCCACTGCAGTGCTGTCCCCTCATCCTGTATTCAGCTTTGGTTCAGCTGCTCTGAGCCTGCTCAGCCTGGTGTGGAGCAGCAGCAGAGCTCAGGGAGCTGGCACTCACTCAGATGGGGCTGTCCTAGGGAGGTTTAAACCTTTCTCTCAACCATCTCCATAAAGCACAGCTGGGACTGGGACAGCTGCAGTTGGGTTTGGCTCCAAAAACAAGCACAAGTGTTTAAGTGCTCGTTGTGTTCTCAGAGTAAATGTTTTACCCCCCTGGTGCTCGTTTGCAAACCCAACAAAGCTGCTGTGAGCACTGATTGTGAGCACTGTCTGCCTCAGCCTGGGCTGGAATTGCTCCTGCCTAGTGAAAATGGACGGAGGAGGGGGAGCTGGGGCTGCTGGACTGGGAAAGTGGGACCAGGAGGAGTCACTCAGCCACATCTCCCTACAGGCACCTGAGAGCTGAGGAATTGACTCAGTCATTACCTCAGGAAGTGCCCAAATCCCTTCTCATGTAGAAAGTGTTTGACAGGGCCAGGCAGAGCTGGGCTCTTCAGGGAGAAGGGAATGACTGCACAGGGTGGAGGAACTGGATGGACAATCTTTAGGGTCCCTTCCCATCCAAACCATTCCATGACTCCTGAGCCATCCCCTGGTGGAACTGAGTGATCCCTCTCCCTTCTCTTGGGTCACTGGGGATGGAGGCAGCTGTGACACAAACCTGGCATCACTTTTGCTCCTGCAGCCATGGGAGCAGCCAGGTGGTGCAGGGATCATCAGGGAAGGATCCACAGCACCTCTGCAAGCTGCAGCTGATCCCCTCTCAGCACACTCCTGCCAGGTAGGGCTGCAGCAGCACCTGCAGCTCTGAGAGGCCCCAGGGCAGGAATTCCACCAGAGCTGAGCTACACGAGGTGCTGTGAGTGATTCTGAGCCCCTTTTCTGTGCACAGACCAGGAGAAGCAGACAAGGGTTGTCATGAGCCTCATCTAAGTGCTTTCAAGCCCATTTTAAGATGTTGTGATTCCTGACAGTGCCTTGGAACTCAGGCACAGGGCTGGTTTTAAAGATTCTCCACCTCCCAGAGAAGGAGGTACAGAGAGGACAAAGGATGAGTGAGGTGAACACACAGACAAGAGAGGACCAAGAGTTTTATTTGAACACAGTAAGGGGAGTACAGCAGCAGAACTCCTTGAGTCCATCTGGCTTCACATGGTATCAGTTGGTGGCTCGGGGTTATTCCATCAGGAATCCATGCCCAGTTTCAGGAGGCTGAATCCATCCCTGCAGTGCCTGTTGCCACCCCAGGCTGGCTCCTGCTGCTGAGCTGCTCAGTTCTCATACTTGTGCTTGATGTGTTTCCACAGTTTCTGCATGCAAAACAAGGAGGAAAAAAAATCAATTTTAGGCAGCTTCTAGTGGGGTTTGGATAAGAGAATCCAAAATGCAAATTATCCTAGTGGGGAGGTGGTGATGGAGTCCTGTAGTGGATCTGGGGCAGACAGGGATGCACATGGGGGCTCCTGGCCTCTAATCTGGACAGGGAGGGAGCTGCAGAGATTCTCCTTCCCCTGTTCTGCTCTGGATTAGTGGCCCAGAGACACTGCCTTGAATTCCCACCTGCACTGAAGAGGGCAGTTCTGCTCCTGCACATAAGAGATGCACAGAACAATCATGGAATGGATTGGAACAGATCTTAAAGCCCATCCAGTGCCACCCCTGCCATGGACAGGGACACCTCCCACTGTCCCAGGCTGCTCCAATGTCCAGCCTGGCCTTGGGCACTGCCAGGGATCCAGGGTGGGCACCCTGTGCCAGGGCCTGCCCACCCTGCCAGGGAACAATTCCCAATTCCCAATATCCCATCCAGCCCTGCCCTCTGGCACTGGGAAGCCATTCCCGCTTTTCCTGTCACTTCAGGCTCTTGTCAAAAATCTTTTTCTCATCTCCTGGAGCCTCTGTATGCCCTAAGGGGACTCCAAAGTCTCCCCCAAGCATGCCTCGCTATCCCGCAGTCATTATTTCATCACTGCTGTACTTAGGAACCTAAGGACGACTTGATCCCTTTTACCCAAGGTCCACGCTGGGGACACCCAAGGCCACCAGCCCTTATCCCCCTCCAGTGCCGCGGTCAGATCAGCCAAGCCGGGGCCTGCAGAGCACAAAGCAGTTCCTTATCCTCCTCCCGCTCCCCCTGCCTTGCACGGCCCTTCCCGGCGGCCAGAGAAGCCCAAGGACACCC